CCCCCCCAGAGGTGGGACTGGAGCTGGGCATGGGGACTGAGGTGCTTGGGGGATGCAGGACCCTCCTCCAGTGCTGGGAATGGGTCCAAGGAGGTGTTCAATACCACAGTGGGATGTTGCTGGAGCAAGCATCAGGGGCACGCCACCATCAGGAGCATAAATCAAGGAACGACCCAAATTTTAAACACCTAAATGCTCGGCTGAATTATTTATTAGTGGGGTGATTTACGCTCTGGGTTAAAACTCAAGGTCTGACCTGGCTCCTGCTGGAGTGAAGAGCAAAACTAGTGTCAACTCCGGGGAGAGGCAGGCTCGGGTCGCAGGCGCTCCAAGGCTGCAGGGTTGGAAAAGCCGCTGGAGTTGTCGCCGGGTGTTACTGGGGCCCTTCACCCTGCTCGAGCTGGCTCTGCCAACCTGTTGGGAGCAAAAAAACCCAAAACAAACCAGAGGTCAGGAGCATCCCGTGCCCGGCCAGCAGCTGGCAGAGACGTGGCCCTTGGTGCCCAGCTTCTGCCAGGCAGATTTGGAAATCACGGACTGGAGAACGGTGGGAAAAACAAATGACTGAATTATTTGGGGAGATCAAGAGCTAAGAATCACCCAGCCCCTCTTATCCACTCCCCTTCTTCCACAAAATAAGGGCCAGCAAGGAAGAGCGCCGTGGCTGTTTTATATTCTCTTTCCATGCACACGTGCCCAGGCAACCGCGCAGGCGTTACCCGCAGCCGGCAGGATTTCTGCGTGGGCAGGGATGCGCTTCCGTCGAGACAAGCTCGCGCTGGGAGCCCACAGCCTCTCCCAAAGCCTTTTTTTGCCACCCGGAGAAGGAAATAGCACATTTCCTACGGCTCCGCTCGCACCGCTGGAAACGATTGGGCCCGAGACAACTCGGGGAGCGGCGATCCCCGGCGGCTGGCTGGCATTAGGCAGCTTAAAATATACATCAGGTTATTTATAGTCAAGGCTGGGCTGGTAATACAGATATTTATTAAGCATCTGGCAGCCCTTAATGCAAAAAAAACCCAACCCAACCCATCTATTCCAGCAGGCTTTTCAGCATAAAACCCTTTCCCCTCCCTCCAGCGCTGGCTTTACTGTGGCAAACGGGAGAAGGAATTAAATAAATCCAGCGGCACGCAGGTTGGTTACAAAGGAGTTGCACGGCCGTCGCCCCATCGGCCGAGGCGCGCAGATGCAGCCCCACACGTCCCTCTACGGCTGCAAAACATCCCGGTCGTGCTAAATATTTCAGAGGTGCACATCTGGGGCTGGGCCAGATGCTTTGCTCTGAAATGAATTAATAAAAAAGTTCCCTTCGGAAGGGATTTGGGCTGAAATTTGGGGTTATTCCGGGGCTGTCCACCAGTACCGGGCTGCCCCTCCCTAGGCAGACGTATGCCACAGTTTGGTATAAATTGTTCCCCAAGCTTTTTCGCCGTGTTTTTGTGAGCTCTGCCACAGGACCGGAATAATTTGTCTCCTTGACAGGAAAAGGCCACGCCGCTGAGTGAAATAAACTGATGCTCTACGTAAAATGGCAGCGGATTTTCATGGGGTTGAAAATCTATAGGGCTGCACTAACGGGTTCCGCCTGGCTGCAGCCCCAGGTCAGCTGGCGGGTAAGACATCAAGTTTATTCCGAGAAGGAGAGGAGGGAAGCAACAACACCGCCACCAAACACCACCACCAACAAAGAAGAGAGCAGAAATAACCCCCCCCAGGGAGCAAACACCAACGCAGCCCGCGTGTTTGCTATGGACGGGCTGAAATGGCAGGCGGCCGGGACTGCAAACCGAACGCCGTACCGTTAAAAGACCCCCGAATCGCTCTGCTTTCCTCTGGGGAAGAAAATTATGCTGGCACGGGATTTGGGGGTCTTGGCTGATTTATTCTTTTGCAAACTGGGGTTTTTTTTTTTTGGTTAGACAGGATAAATTTGGAGCACGCTGCGTGGAAGCGGTGACCTGAGGAGCCAGGAGGTTATTTCCAGCCGGCAAAGCTGCGCAGGTGGGAACAGCCTCGGCCCCTGGCCCAAAGGAGCCAAATCATAGATTTCCCCTCATTTTCATAGCAATTGGGTGCTGCTCAGTAAACGAGACAGACTTTGAAACCTCCAGTTTGTTTTTCCTCCAGCTGGGCTCTGTCTGTGTGTCACCTGGGGGGTCGTTACAGCAAGAAGCTGTCACAAGCGCAGTGGCTCGGTGTCTGAGGGAGAGCTCCCTCATCCTAGCCAAAGCCTTGGGTTTTGGGTATGAAACAAAGGATTTTTGAAACTCTTCCCATGTCTCATGTGCTGTAGGAGACCAGTGTCTCCCCCAGTGGGTCTCCCCTGTCTCCTCCTGCTGCGGAGGCAGATGGGCAGAAGCTCTGGGAGTTTGGACCCACCCGTGCTTGAACCTGGGGAGAGCCGCAGCTGAGGACACCCTGACGTTTGCTTTTTCTCTTACTGACACACATCTGCCGTCAGGGCAGGTCGGTACCTGGCTTGTGCTGGGGGGTAAAAACCCCACAGCGGGCTGTTAAAGAGCCCCCAAATCCCACTGGAGGCTCCTTTTACTGTACAACACTGGACATCAACACGGCTGAGCCTGCCCCATCAGTGCCACCAGCATAGAATCACATAATTGTTTAGGTTGGGAAAGGCCTTTAAGCTCATCAAGCCCAGCCGTTCCCCTACCCCTGCCATCCCACCCCCAAACCCTGGCCCTCAGCACCGCCTCTGCCCGGCTGTTAAATCCCCCCAGGGCTGGGGACT